GTGCTAGAGCCAGGTGATGGGGTGGAAACTGGAAGCACATGTGGTTTGTAACACACAGCGCCTGTGTGCACGTGAGGCAGGGACGGATGTCTTGCAGTCCCCTTCCAGCCCCGGGGAGTCAGGGCCTCTCCCTGGTTCCTTGCTTTGACCCTGGATCCATGCCTGACCTGCCTTCGCCAGGGCTGACAGGTGGAGCTACCCAGACCTGAGTCCGGGGCCCATCCTTGGTTTTCCCTGGTCCAGGGTAGGGCAGGGCTGGAGCTATCCAGATAGATATTTTTTTCTGATTTGAGGCAAGTCAGGGTTTGAACACTCTCCTCTACCCCCTACAAAACGAGAGACCATTCATTCATTCATTCATTCATTCATTCATTCATTCACATACCCCATCTGCATGGGCCTCAGTGTTCCTATCCATGAGACAGTTAGGCTTCTAAACATTTGATGCAGGGTCCCTTGGGGGAGGAGGCCATCGATAATAGGGAGCTTCAGAAATTGCCCAAAATATACGTGTGTAAGTGTGCGTGTTTGTGAGTGTGCGTGTTTGTGTGTGTGTGTGTGTCTGTGTGTGTGTGTCTCTGGGGAAAGGGCTCAGGGCTTTCTTTAGTTCTCAGCCATGTTCCTGACTCCCAAACAGTTAAGAAGCAATGGTTGTAGTGCAGGGAGGGAAAGCGGGCTCCCAAACTCTGCTGGAGGGGCCGCACTGGAAACAGCCATTTTGGAGCACCACTTGCCATATCACACAGGTTGGAAATGAGCATATATGTCGGCCAGACAGTTCCACTCCCAGACAGTTGAGAAAAAGAGTGATGCTGGAGGGCGTTTGCAGCAGCAAAGAGGTGTAAACCCCGAAAGTCCATTAACAGGAGAATGACTGATAAACGGTTATATTCATACCTGGGAATGCCATAGAGCAACTGAAAAGAATGAGCTAGATCTCATGGAATTTATTCATTCAACAGGTATTCATTGAACACTTACTATGTATCAGGCACTCCTCTTAGCACTGGGCCTACAGTAGTGATAAAACAAAGCAGATCAAATCCTGCTTCCAGAACTTACATCCTAGTGGGCGAGACAGACATAAGCAGACACAGAAGATAGTTTCAGAGAGTGTGATAAATACCATGGAGAAAATAAAACTGGGGGGCTGACCCCGTGGCTCACTCGGGAGAGTGCGGCGCTGGGAGTGCAGCAGCGCTGGGAGTGCCGAGGCCGCGGGTTCGGATCCTATATAGGGATGGCCGGTGCGCTCACTGGCTGAGCGCGGTGCGGGTGACACCAAGCCAAGGGTTCTGATCCCCTTCCTGGTCACGAAAAAGAAAAAAAAAATGGTGAATTAAGACCAATTCTTCTCGGGCCGGCCTGGTGGCGCACTGCTACAGTGTGCCGCTTGGGAGGGTGGCGGCGCT